AAGTCATATATTGTGGAGGGATTAAAACAGTTTAAAATTAAAGGGATGTAGTGGAATGTCGTAGCAAGTTATAGCATTAAAGCACATATGTACATTAAAAAAAACCTTATGTGCCAGAACAATGTTTAGGAGTTATGCTTTGCAGAAACTAAATTACTTTTTTCTTTATATAGATATGGAAAATGAAAATCAAAAGTATTATATATTAATAATAAACAAATTAATTTAATAAATTCGCCCAGTGGTCGAAATTTGATCAAAATTATTATATAAAAGAAACTGTTTTCTAAAGTTTTTGGAACGAAGTTCCTTAACGCGGCTAAAAATTAACAGGGAGAAATCGTAACGTAACGAAAAATTGTTACGAGACGTTCGGATCCATCCGGCGTAGTTCGGGATTCGGATGTTATCGTCAAGTACTGGCCGCCATACTTGCTTACATCACGTGTAGTTGATTGTGATCGATGGTATACTCCCGTTAAATAAAATCGTTTATCAATAACTAACAGTTTTATTAAAATGAATTGCATTATCTAATAATTGCAATTTTGTAATGGAGATTTAAGAAATGGAAACTGCAGCAAGAATGTGTTATACAAAGTTAAAAAAGTAAATATAATAAAGTTTTATATTTTGAGACAAGTATTTACTGTTTCCATACGTTTAATGTTATTTGAGTTTTAATTATTTTTTTTATTTATATGCATTTAAGTTATCCGTGCCTAAGGGTTGCCATGCTAAAGTATTATCCGTGGAGTATTTTCGTATCCGTGGAAAAATTACCTGACGGGGCCTCCGTCCGCTTACATAATTTTTTTTATAGATAACATTAAAGTACATCAGTATGTACTAAACAAAAAAAGGAAACCGGTTGACAAACAAAGGACAAAAAGGTCCTAGACTGTTTTGCCTATTTATGTATATATACTTGTAGATATCAAATATATCGTTTATAACTAAACCTGAATCATTAAACTATAATTCATTACTCAAATTGATATTATAATTATTATCAAATTAATACCACACAGCTATAATTAACTATTTAATTGTTAAAATTAACGTTTTCATTTCATTACTAAAAATATTTAATATAAGATAAGTTACCTATTGCTTAATATTAATGATTGTTCTGTATCGTAATATATGTTTGTTTATTTGTATGTAATATTCTTTACTGTATATGTTTTTTGCTCATTGTTTTAATATTATAAAATATTAGATTAATTTGACTTATTTTGTAATAGACTATAATCATAAAGTCTGCCAAAAGAACCTTTATGACCCTTGCATCATTAATCGTTATGTTTTTAATTTTCTAATACGTTTAAGTTTGGCTCAGTTTGTAGTGAACCTACAGGTTGTGCTTACGGTCGCGGGTTCGGGTCCCGCTGGGGACTTTCAATTGTGTGACGAGCACAAATGTTTGTACTCTAGTCATAGGTGTTTATGTTTATATTTACAATATGTATGTATTAAAGTTATATACATATGTATAATATATGAACTATCTGGTATATAACACAAGCTTCTTAATTTACTATGTAACTAGATGGTGCTGTGTGTTAATGTCCCAACATACTTATATTATATTATGTGTACAGGAAATGTAGAGTCACGGAACATAAAAAAAAAACTCTTCCGTTGCTAGTCATCTTTTTTTTAACACACACTCATCTTACATTCATGCACACACTTACAAACTTGTATTTATAACAGAAGAGTGAAGTTTTTACGATATGAGCAAAAATACAATAAATTTAAATTATAATTATTTATTTGTGCATTATCATTAATACATTTTAAGCTATGGGATAATATCCATAGTTATTGTAGAATTGCTGAGGTCCATAGCGTCCATAGCGTCCATAGCGTCCGTATGGATAGATTTGGGGATAATGTAAATATCCAGGGTATACACCTCTGTTGTAAATATAGGGCATTGCACCAACTCTTAACCTCCGAAGGACTTCAATAGGATTACCGTCATAGGATGACTCCCAATCCATAACGGATAGCTTCCCTACGTTATCCTCCATAGGTACATCATACACAGGTTGATTTACTAAAGGTCTGTCCTGTCCTATTATACTTTCTATAGGCTTCACATCCTTTACTTTATCTTTTGATATATCAATGCTATCCTTATCCTTTTCCGCCAATGCAAGTGCAACAATAGCCAGTAAAAAGAAGACTTGGAATTTCATCTGTAATAGAACAAAATATTAATATTAGTTCAGGGAAAATAATTCAACTACTAAAATAAGTATGAAAACCATTTTTTCCATTGGTTTTTTAACACTTAGTTAAGTTAAGGGTAGCATTAAAAAAAATTTATGATGATGATGTTCTCCTGAACGATTCTGGCTACGGCGGCCAATCTCATTGAGACTAGCCAACTGCGCAGGAGATATTATAGTGCACAAGTGTACGCGCAGACACAACGTGCACTCTCTATTCCTGTCACTCTCATACTTTGGTGGGACGACCGCTCGACACGACCAGTGAGAGTTAAGGCGCAGGACCGACGGCTTTACGTGCTCTCCGAGGCACGAGGGTAAAACACCGCCAACTTCCCAACTCCGGGCTTTTACTGAGGCTTACTATACAGAAAGACTCAATAAGTAAACTTGGCCCCACCCGGGACTCGAACCCAGGACCTCCGGGTGTGCAACCGTACATGCTAGCCACTACACCACCGAGGCAGTTAAAAATATACATTATATTTTTAGTACCTTGTTTAGTAGAACTCTTATGAAACATTAAAAATAAACGCATAATACTAGCATATATATGGTGGCCTAATTACACTTTCATCTGACGAGTTTATTTTTTTAAATTGATATTAGATCTTTTGGTCAATTTAAAACCGCAGAAACGGATCTGTTATTAAAAACATATTACATTGACCTAAGATTTAATGATGTTAGATTACAGTAAACTAAGATATTACCGATCTTTTCTGACAGTGACGGTAATTAAATTGTATATTGTTATAAGACAGTGGTAGCTCAGGTAGCGCGTTTGCTTGGAAAAAAAAATGAAGCACGTTCAAATACCAGATCCCCCAAATCTGATATTCTCATCTGTACGTATAATAAAACTGTAGAGGTCGAATGTCTGTACATAAAAAAATTTGCGAAAAACCGAGTCAGGGGGATGTAAGAAGAGAAATAAAACAAATGTGATTTTTTTTCAATTTTTTTGTTTCTCTGTCTGTTTGTCTATTTGTACCGGCTACTCCCTGAGACCATTGGACTGATTTAAATGAAATTTTGCGTGGTGGTACCTTATATCCCCGAAACATCCTAAATTCTTTTCATCTCGGAAAATCAAAGAGTTCCCGTGGGATAGTGAAAAAACTATAGTAACTTATACAGCTTAGTACACAAAAACTACTGATTGGATTTTAATGAAACTGTGCAATAATATAGAACTCATACATCAGAATAACAAATAGGCTACTTTTTATCCCGGAAAAATGTACGGTTCCTGTAGGATAGATTGTTTTTTGTTTGCCTATATATATTTGCCTATATATAATAATGACAGCTAAAATTAAATAAATAATATTGCTATATTTAATTATAATACTTATTATATTTTTTTAAATGTTTAGAAATAAAAATTAACAAATATTGTAAGGTACTTTGGTGCCACTTTTGAATTTTCGAAATCATTTTTGTAAAATAGTATGTAGGCACTGTCTATCTGTAAGTGTATAACGCCTTTGAGAAGTCTATAACCTCAGTCTCTCCCGTGACCATGATTGCTGTAAAGCATTCGAAACGTCGGGAACCAAAAATTTAATAAATCCGCGAAATAATCCGAAAAGATAGTTTTATTTAAAATGTCAAATATTCGCGTAAATCTAAGAAAGTATTATCTAGCAGAACCCGCGGCTTCGCTCGCGCTAAAACTACAAGAAAACTTCTAAAATGGTAGATTTCATACAAAGTTTCATCCGCTATTTTTCCCTCTTATGGGATGAATTTTGAAAAACACGTATTTAATTAATTGTATTGAAATGTTAAGTACCAAGTTTTAAGTAATTCTGATCATAAATATTTTTTTGGATTGTATTATAACGTATTTTCCCGTAGGAAAGACATAATCTCCCGCGGTAGAAAGTAGCCTATGTCCCTTCAACTATCTCTACACAAAAAATCATATCAATCCGCCAAGCCGTTTTGACGTAAAATAAAGACAAACAACCTAACAAACAAACACACTTTCACATTTATAATATTAAGTATTGATTATAATATTAGTATGGATTTATATGACTACAACTGCACGATTTTAGCCTGCTTTATAACACTATTTCTCATTACCATAGGGTTGGCTGGAAGAGATCTCTTCTAGAGATAAGTCCACCTTTGCAAACAAAAATTGTATTTAAATTAGTGTATTTATTTTTAAAAGTTTATTGTTGGGATTGAAAAGAAAAAGTTTTCAAAACTTGGAAACTTATTGTTTTAAATCCTTTCAATTTTTAAGTTCAAGAGTTTTTAAGGTTAAAAATTATTTTTAGATGCAGGAGTTTCTGTATGCAAAAAAAACCTTGACGTACCGAACTAAGCTACTTATTCTAATTACTTATTTATTAGTCTATTCGTCTTTCCTTAGAATTTAAATATTTTATAATGGACGAATAATTATTTTTATTCGTCCTATTAAAGGATGAATAATTATTTTTATTCGTCCTATTAAAGAACGAATAGACACACACAGGTAAATATCGTGAGAAGGTTTTTATCATATAAATTTTGTAATGTAACAAATTGTTGGGTTTGATTTAATTTAAAGTTTATTCTCTTCTTTTTAGAAAACTTGAATAAAAGCATGTTTTTAAAAATGTTATTTTACTTTTAATTTATTTGTTTCGTCAAGAAACTTATCTTTCTCTATAGAACGATCGATGGTTTATTTAGTTATATAAAAATACAATAAATTTTAATCATCATTATTTATTAATGCTTTATCATTAATACATTTTAAGCTATGGGATAATATCCGAAGTTATTGTAGAATTGCTGAGGTCCGTAGCGTCCATAGCGTCCGTATGGATAGATTTGGGGATAATTTAAATATCCAGGGTATACACCTCTGTTGTAAATATAGGGCATTGCACCAACTCTTAGCCTCCGAAGGACATCAATAGGACTAGTATCATAGGCTGATTCCCAATTCATAAGGGATAGCTTCCCTACGTCATCCTCGATAGGTACATCATACACAGGTTGATTCACTAAAGGTCTGTCCTGTATTAGTATACTTTCAATAGGCTTCACATCCTTGACTTTATCTTTTGATATATCCTTGTTATCCTTATCCTTTTCCGCCAATGCAAGTGCAACAATAGCTGGTAAAAAGAAGACCTGGAATTTCATCTGTAATAAAACAAAAATATCAATATCATTTCAGGGAAAATTATTCAATTGCCAGAATAAATGAATATAAATATAAATATATTGGGTCATTAACACACAGCACCATCTAGTTCCATGTTGAGGTACGAGGCTTGTGTTATGGATACTCTCATGGAGTATGACTGGATTACAAACATTCGTGCTCATCACACAACTGAATGTCCCCAGCGGAACTAGAAACCGCGACCGCTGGAACAGCAAGTAGAGCCACTACAAGCTGAGCCATCGTGTGGTCAAAATGTATGGAAATTAATATCGTTTTCCACTGCTTCTTAGATATATTTTATTTTTTTATTGTAGTCTAGTTATTTTGTTTCTTATTCTTATTCTATAAGAAGAAAGAAGTCAGTAACTGATAAAAAATGAAGATATAAACGCATGAATACTTAATACTAATAAACAAAGTGGGTATATGGAAATATGACATGGCTAATATTCAAGATTTAAATAATAATAAAATACATAGTATTAAAAAAAATATTATAATTGTAGTACCTTGTTCAGTAGAACTCTTATGTAACATTAAAAATAAACGCGTAATACTGGCTTATATATGGTGGAGTAATTACACTTTAGTTTGACGTTTTTTTTTTTTAAATTGATCTTTTTCTCAATTTAAAACCACAGATCTGTTATTAAAAACATATTTAAGTAACCTAAGATTTAATGACCTTAGATTACAATAAACAAAGATGTTTTAAAGATCTTTTCCAACTGTGACCGTAAATAAATTGTATATTATAGTTATAAGGCAGTGGTAGTAGCGCGCTTGCTTGGGAAACCAAGTGAGCTCAAATCCCGGGACCCACACCTCTGTTATTCTCATTTTCAACATAATTAGCACCTGTCATAATTATACTACTATAGCTGAAGGAAAAAAAAGTCTGAAAACCTGCACTTGGCCAGCGTGGTGGGCTATAGCCATATCCCATTTATAGTAAAGAGAGGCCCACCCCCAGCAGTGGGGCATTAAAAAGACGCCGAATCGATAGATAATAGATACATATGTGTACTATACTAGGTATATGTGGCTTCACCCGTATGCTTGCTTTTAGTCCCCAGGCATTAAGCATTACCTCTGTAATAAGTTAGCAATATAAATAAATGAATAAAATCTCTGAACAAACTTATTACTCATAGTATAAAATCTAAAGTACGGTCGTGACCCTTTTCTAGTTTTAATTAGGTAAAATATATAGGTGATGCCACTTTCACTTAATTAAATTCTATGTTTACGGGTTTTAGATGTAGGTTCTAGTTAAATACAGATCACTGTGTCACGAAAAATTGATAAGACGTGTCCCAATGTTTATGATTTTGTTATGATTTCCCAATTTATTATTATGATCGACATAATAACATCATAATAAAACTTTTTATTAAAATTTAATTACATGACTTTGCTATAAGAGTTGAGTTCGAGTTTGAGTTTGTATGTGTTTGAGCTAATTTCAGAAAGTATTGTACAGATTTTCATACGATTATCACTAATAGAAAAAAAGAAGAATCCCTCTTTTATCTTGCTCAATTTCTTTCTTTTTTCATCTAGAAAGGTTATAGAATAATTAATAAACATAAAAATAATTTACGAATTTTTGCAAAAAAATCTATCGATCCTACTAATATTATAAATGTGAAAGTTTGTGAGATGTGAGTGAGTGTGTGAGTTTGTGAGAGTGTGGATGGATGTTTGTTACTTTTTAACGCCAGAACGACTGAACGGATTTAAATGAAATTTGGCACAGAGATAGATTATAGTCTAGAATAGTAGATACATAGATTCCCTTACGATAGATTTGTTTTTGTTTAAGGACGAACCCGAATCGAAGCGAGGGTGAATCGCTAGTATGATGATATTTATTAAAATATTCTCAGTTGAAATTCGACATCATTATTCAAAAGAAAAATTATATGATGTGATTCCAAAATTTTCATATTCATAAAACTAAAGGTCATAAATAGTTATTAAAGAAAAAAAACCAGAGCAGAAAAGGGTACTGAACAATTTTTTTGGCCTATTTATATAAATACTACTACATAGACATACTATATCGGTTAGTATGGAATAGATACACTATATACTATATAATATTATATATACATAGGTATGATGAGTTGTTGAGGGTTGTATTACAACGTGTTTTCCTGTAGGAATAAGATAATCTCCCGCGGTAAAAAGTAGCCTATGTCACTCTGTTTCGACGTGAAAGAAGGACAAATAAACACACTTTTACATTTATAATTGTAAAAATATTAGTATGGATATAAAATTAGATCTCTATCAATAAAAATATAGGAACTCGATTTAATTGTAAAGGTAATCCCAGTGTAGCGAAATTATAATCAATACCTACTTCTCGTATATACTCGTATATCGAATAGAACTGAAGTAAAATTGAATTGAATATTTGTAACCCACCACAGTAAAAGCTATAACCGCTAAACAAAAACAAGATTCAGAACATAGATTGAATTCACAATTCATAAATATTTTCTACTAGCTCGTGTGCGTTGCTGCGTGCCTTTTATTTATATGTTGCTCCAGGTCATAGTTTATCCGTTAAAATTTCATCCAAATCTGTTTAGCCTTTTTTGTGTGAAAGAGTACTATACAAATTTTCGCATTACTATAACTTATTAGATATCTATACGTATAAAAACATTCTGAGTCGAATCTGTACATTAATTTTTTTTTGGAAAATCTTTTTGTAAAAGTTATTATTATCAATACAAAGGTCGAATCTATACTTTTTAGAAGTTTTGTCTATCTGTCTGTCTGTGACCACATAGAGAGAAAACCACTGGACATATTTTGATGAAATTTGGTATGACGATAGCTTGTTATCCGGGTCAACAGATGGGATACATTTTATTGCGGGAAAATATCTAATCTCTGAGAAACCTACCAAACATTAAAACGTAAGTTCTTCTAATTTATAATGAAAAATAATTATTTTAATCATCTTACGTATGCATCTTAGGATACGCAAAGAAATTGTTTTCATGTTGTTACGTTGATTGGGCTGAGTAGATAACGCCTGCAATTTAATAGGACACGCAAGCCTTTACATGTCTAACCCGGCCCAGGCCTTGTCCAGGAGTAAAGCGAAACACATAAATACAAACAATCTATAAATATATACTATTCTTGTCTGTGGTTTCGCTTTCATAATGATAAAAAGTGCTTTATTAATATAGAATAGTAACAACTTCTTTTAATTTTTGGTTCCCGACGTTTCGAATGCTATACAGCAATCATGGTCACGGGAGAGACTGAGGTGTTACATGTCTCTAAGGTATTATGTTAATTTTGGGTAGCCTGTCTGTAACAACTATATAATACCTTAGAGACATCTAACACCTCAGTCTCTCCCGTGACCATGATTGCTGTAAAGCATTCGAAACGTCGGGAACCAAATATCAAAATAAATTCGCGAAAAAATCCGATAGGATAGTTTTATTTAAAATGTCAAGTATTCGCGTAAATCTAAGACAGTATTAAGTAACAACTTACTCACTCACTTTTTGACTCAGAATTTCATTATAATATGTATAGAAGATAAGCTACAGTCCCCGTTTTTATTAGATGAAAGGGACAAATATGCGCATTTTCTAAACAAATATTTACAATTATGAGGATATTAGGCAGTGGGACCCCCTTGGTAACGTGCCTGCTTGGAAAACCGAATAAAGCAGGTTCATATCTCGGGTCTCGCACCTCGGTAATTTTCATGTGCGAATTATTTCCAACATATTTACCATTTGTCTAATGATAAAGAAAAATATCGCGAGGAAATCTGTATGTCTGAGTTAACTTAGCAAGTTTTCGAAAGACATGTAAAGTCCGCCAACCCGCACTTGGCCAGCGCGGTAGACTATGATCTGATCCCCCTCGTATAGAAGAGAAGCCCGTGCCCAGCAGTAGGACAGTAAAAAATGGGTTGAATAGATACATCCACACACTTAAGTATATTTTTCAGGTTTCAACTTACGATGTATCATATTGGTGATACATTCATGTACTCCAATTCTTTATTAAATACCATTTAATGTTGATTCCCCATACAACCTTTTATCCCCATTGTCACCCCCTTAAGGGATTATTTCCAGGATAAAAACTATCCTATGTCCTTCCCAGGATCTCAAACTATCTTCTTACCAAATTTCATATAAATCTGTTCAGTAGTTTCGGAGCCTATTAATAAACAAACAAACAAAAAATCAAAACTTTCCTTTTTATAATATTAGTATAGATAAATATTTTTGTAATACAATTATACACTCAATAAATATTGACTTCATCGATAGTATATCGAAAACTATCAGCAATTCAAAAAAAATGGTTCAGACCTGAGAAAATCAACCTACGTATAAGGCACTTGCGGAGATAAAATATTGCCTCAACCGAACCTCGTATCCATGACCGGTGTAACATATAAATTATACATATCACTATTCCCATTCCAGATAATCATCAAATACAAAATCTATGGTAACACTTTATATGTCCACCATTTACCCTATTGATAATTAAATCATCTACTTGAGTGATAAAATGGTTAAGCCAATTCAACTGGAACACCGGATAAATCAAAAAGAACTGTGAGCTTATCTGCAGATTATTCTGTTAATATCTTACAGCTTTGTCAATATAGCTTTTAATTATACAATAGACTAGCAGAACCCGCGGCTTAACTACAAAAAAACATTAAATAAAAACTTTTTAACAAAAAATAAAAACCGACTTCCAGGCACTAAATTGCAAAAAATAACTAAACGGAGTTTTTCATTTAGAATAGATACCTAATCAGATATTTTCGAAGTCGGGAAAGCAAATCTAATATATTTCGATACGTAAAATAAATATTTACCTATTAGATATTCATATCTTAAAATATTGTAGGCTGGATATTCATATCTTAAAAATTTTCCAAATCGGTTCAGGCGTCTTCGAGTAACCGGTGAATATACATAAAAAAAAAGAAAATCAAAAAGATTCCGACGAATTGATAACCTCCTCCTTTTTGGAAGTCGGTTAAAAATTAGGTTTCATACAAACGTTCATACCTATTTTACCCCCTTATGGGATGAATTTCGAAAAATGCTAAACACACGTTTATTTAATTGTATTAAAGAG